ATGTGTATGTAATATATATTAAACATTGTATTATATGTGTATATATGTATGTATAACGTGTATATACTACACATATATAGTACACTACATATTTAATATATTATAAATAGTACTAGATGCCCGGCGCACAAAAATTTGTGCACTCGGGGGGGGGGGGGGGGGTCCCTCAGCCCGGCCTGTGCCCTCTCGCAGTCTGGGACCCCTCGGGAGATAACGACCTGCTGGCTTAGGCCTGCTCCCGGGTGGCAGAGGGCAGGCCCAATCCCTAGGTGCAGCCCCTGGTCGGGCTCAGAGCAGGGCCGATTGGGGAGTTGGGGCACCGCCCCCTGTCATGCACAGAGCAGGGCGTATCGGGAGGTTGTGATGCCATCCTCAGTCACACTCAGGGTAGGGCCGATTGGGGGGTTGGGGCACCGCCCCGTCACACTCAAGGCAGGGTCGATGGGGAGGTTGCGGTGCCACCCCCTGTCACGCACAGAGCAGGGCCCATCAGTGGGGTTGGGGAGCTCCCCCCTGTCACGCACAGAGCAGGGTCAATCAGGGTTGGGGAGCTCCCCCCTGTCACTCACAGAGTAGGCCTGATAGGGGAGTTGGGGCACCGCACCGTCACACACAGAGCAGGGTGGATCAGGGGATTGGGGCGCCACCCTCTATCACCCACAGAGCAGGGCCGATCATGGGGTTGGGGCGCCGCCACTCTCACACTCAGGGCAGGGCCGATGGGGAGGTTATGGCTCTACCCCATCACACACAGAGCAGAGCCCGTGGTGGGGGGGCAGGTTGGGGCGCCGCAGCCTGTCACACACAGAGCAGGGCCGATCAGGAGGTTGGGGCACCTCACGCTGTCACACGCAGAGCTGCAGGGCGATCAGGGGGTTGGGGAGCTCCCCCCTATCAGGCACAGAGCAGGGCTGATCAGGGGGTTGGGGCGCCTTCCCCTGTCATGAACAGAGCAGGGCGGATAGGGAGGTTGTGGCCCCGCCCCCTGTCACACACAGAGCCGCAGGGCGATTAGGGGGTTGGGGAGCTCCCTCCTATCAGGCACAGAGCAGGGCCGATCAGAGGGCTGGGGTACCGCCCACTGTCACACACAGAGCAGGGTCCGTGGGGGGTTGTTGGGGCGCCGCACCCTGTCACACACAGAGCCGCAGGGCGATCAGGGGGTTGGGGAGCTCCTCCCTATCAGGCACAGAGCAGGGCTGATCAGGGTGTTGGGGCGCCTTCCCCTGTCATGAACAGAGCAGGGCGGATAGGTAGGTTATGGCCAAGCCCCCTGTCACACACAGAGCCACAGGGCGATCAGGGGGTTTGGGCGCTGCCCCCTGTCACACTGATCCCGGTGCCAGGAGGCCTCGCGGCTCTGCTGATCCTGGTGCTGGGAGGCATATTACCCTTTTACTATATAGGATAGAGGCCTGGTGCATGGGTGGGAGCCAGCTGGTTTGCCCTGAAGGGTGTCCTGGATCAGGGTGGCGGTCCCCACTGGGGTGCCTGGCCAGCCTGGATGAAGGGATGATGGCTGTTTGCAGCTGGTCACACCCCCTTCAGGGTGGGGGTCCCCACTGGGGTGCCTGGCCAGCCTGGGTGAGGGGCTGAGGGCTGTTTTCAGGCTGGCGGGTGACTGAAGCTCCCAACTGCTCCTTTTTTTCTTTTTTTTTCTTTTTTATTCTGGGCCAGCTTTAGCTCTGACTCCAGCTCTGAGGCCTCTGCTGCTGAAAGCAGGTATCTGGTTTGTTTGTGTTCTATAATCGAAACACTGTATCAATTCCAGCTCTGAGATCCTGGCTCGCTGAAAGCAGGTTTCTGGGGTTTTGTTTAGCTTCTATATTTGTAACTATGTTTCAGACTGCAAGCTCAGAGGCCGGCAGCGGCATGCGGGGAATGTTGGAGTCCTCCATCACTGAAGCAAGCAAGCCTCATGTTAGTTTCAAGCTGCCGGCCGCCATCTTGGCTGGCAGTTAATTTGCATATCACCCTGATTAGCCAATGGGAAGGGTAGCGGATGTACGCTAATTACCATGTTTCTCTTTTATTAGATAGGATTTTATATATGTATATACACATATGTTTATTTTATATTCAGAAAGTAGGATCATACTCTACCTGTTGTTTTGGCTGCTGTATTTCCTCACTTGACAATAGATCATGACATTTTTTGTGTGTCAATAAGTTTGTTAACTTGGGTTTAAATACTCATTCATTCATTTAGTTGATCAATGACCTTGGGCAAGTTATTTTACCTTTCTGGGCCTCGATTTTCCCACTTGTAAAATGGGGCAATAATGGTCCTATATCACTGAGTTGCTATGCAGATTAACTAGATAATTCATAAAAAGTGCATGTTGTAGCATTGGCTCAGAGAGAACGCCTATCAGCCGATAACCGCCCGTCTTGGGTACCTGGTGGGGAGGCTGCTGAGTCCAGGGGTCCCCATTTGGGAAGTGCTTCTCACTCTCTGCCCCATCCAGTTTCACGCTCTGGGCAGTTTTCTGGGTTTTTCACAGCTCAGACTAGCTGTGCTCATTTCCTGAAAGGTGATTCTTGGTTCCCTTAGTTTAAGACCTGGACCTGTGGCTGCCCTCCCCACCTGTCTTCCCCACTCCACCTGTGTCCTAAACCCCTCCCTCTTTCCCCCATTGCTAATGCATCACAGTGTGGACGCCCCTTGATTCTTGTTCCTGGGACGGTAGGTCCAGACTCAGCGTGACCTTGGAAACTCCTCTCCAGAATCCAAGCACCCCTTTCAACAACTGGTTAGAATGGTGTTTGTGTGTATGTGGGGAGGACTCAGCTTGTCTTCTGCACAGACATTATCGCATATGATGCCTCCGCAGGCCCATTTTACAGATGAGAAAATGGAGGCTCAGGGAGCTGATGTGACTCCCCGAAGCCTCAGAACTGGAATTCAGATACTTACCTCTCCCACAATACACGGAAAGCATCCCAAAATGAGCGAGACCCTCTGCCCTTGAGGGGCCGATGCCCAACATTTGGATTTCCAGTTCAGCGGGGAGGACCCCTGAACAACTCGTAAATACAGCAGCCTGATAAAGAGAGGGAGCCTTGGGGTCCTACCCTGGCTCCCTGACTTCGTTAGTTCTGTGGTTCTGGGCACATGACTAGTAGGCTCAGACTCCCAGCGTCAGCTGACACCATTGTGTGGACTGAAAAATGACCAAACACATTCAGAGCATTTATCCCACAGCGCCAGGCACACTGCACATATCTAGTAAACGGTGCCTGCTAGCGTGGCTGCTGTTCGTGAAAATGCTTTATCGTAGCTGACAAAGATGCCCCAGCAGACATGATAGAACTGCATGCATCATGAGCCTTTGACCCTGGGATCAAAGGGCTCCCTCATGCAGAAGATTCAAAAGAGAGGCAGATCTGGGAACTAACGGGCCAGGCCCTTGAGGCTCACTACTGAGTGGAAGAGTGAGCTGCAGGAAGAGGCATAGTGCGTGATCCAGTTTATGTGAGAAAGCCACCCAACCCCAGACCAAGCCAGCCTGCGGTTTCTACATGTAGGTGTGAGCGTGCACAGAAAAGGCTGGCGGGGTGGACTGACCTCAGTGGGCTCCTTCCTCACCTCTCAGGAGTAAAGTCTTTCTCCCGCCTCTGTTCTTGGCCCTCCCTCTTCCCTTCCCCAGGGTGTGGGAATCCTTCCAGAAAGTGTCTACATTGCGGAGATATATACATGTTAACATTTCCCACGTGAATGGGAGAGTATTTATGCTTATATATCAACATGTCTTGGAGACGGTTCTGTATTGGTGCACAGCACGCTTCCTCATCTCATGTTCTACCTGCATAGGGTTTCGGAGGGGGGTGTGGACCCCCATGTATGAGTCTCCTACTGATGGACCCTCAGAGTGTTTGCAATCCTTGCCATTGCACACTGAACGGTAAGAAATGTTCCCTTACCGTTCACCAGCTGTTTCACCCCGTGCGCCACCACAGTTTTTAAAACATGCAACACCTGGCTCTTTAGTCAGGGCACTGACCTCTTTTCCCTGAGATTGTTGAATAAAAAAGTGACAACAGCCAACACAATAGCCATTCGGTGTGAATGAATCAAAATTATACTCTTTCTTGTTGTCAGATTGGCAAAAATATATATTTTTGGTGTGCTGAAGAATTTCAGTAATTAGTTTATGTGCCCTAAGGCTGTGGTCGGCAAACTTCAGCTTGCGAGCCACATGCGGCTCTTTGGCCCCTTGAGTGTGGCTCTTCCTAAGCCTTAGGAGTACCCTAATCCTATCTAATAATAGACAAGGATTGAAATTGACCGTACCTTCGCTACGCCTCCCATTGGCTAATCGGCGAGATATGCAAATTAACCACCAACAAAGATGGCGGTTAATTTGCATACATACGTGTGAAGCGGCAGAGCGAAGACTGAAGGCAGCTCTGGCTGCCAGAGCCGTGAGAGGCTTGGAGGCGGCTCCGGCTGTCGGAGCAGCGAAAGGCTTGGAGGCGGCTCTGGCCGGAGCGAAGGCCTGGGTCCTGGGTGCCGGAGGAAAACCGGTGCCGGCAGCCAGGGGAAGGGAAGGCCTATTGCACAAATCTTTTCATGCAACAGGCCTCTAGTTAAGTTAATAACAGTGTACCTACCTATATAGTTTAAGTTTAAAAAATTTGGCTCTCAAAAGAAATTTCAATCGTTGTACTGTTGATATTTGGCTCTGTTGACTAATGAGTTTGCCGACCACTGCCCTAAGGGGAAAAGGATGGAAAATCACTGCTCTACACAGTCCTTATGCACAGGACGTGGTGTCTGTAGGGTGAGTCCTGGAAGTGGACTTGTTGGGTCCAAGGACACGAGCAGTGGAGATGTACATGCATGCCGCCCAAAGGCCCCCATGAAGTGGCCCCAGTGCGTGTCCCCCTCCTTTAGCGTATGGAGTTGGATGGGGCTCAGGAGGGGCGGGGACCATGGGAGATTCTTCTGTCTTCCTGGCAGCAGTGCCTCTGAGACGCGTCCTCCTGTGTCTTTGCAGAGCAAGCTGGTAAAGTACTTCAGCCGGCAGCTGTCCTGCAAGAAGAAGGTGGCCCTGCAGGAGCGCAACGCCGAGCTGGACGGCTTCCCCCATCTCCGGCACTGGTTCCGCATTGTCGACGTGCGCAAGGAAGTCCTGGAGGTGACCGGCGGCGGCCCCTGCCCTCTGCTTCTTGCTGGCCAGCAGCCAGTCCCTTGGGTAACGGGGTTTTGGCTGTGCCTGACACATAGTAGGCCCTCAGTAAATATGGGTTGGTGAAGGCGTCAGAGACCCTCTCTGCATGGGCCGTTGCAGCTCTGCCGCTCATGAACTCAGTCACTGTACCTCAGAGCTTCCTGCTGGGATGGACGTATTTAATGTCTATGCTAAGCCCCATGCAGTGGCCACCAGCCACGTGTAGCTCTCGAGGACTTGAATTGTGGCTAGTGCGTGTGGCTGAGGAGCTGAGCTTCCAGTCATATTTAATGTTAATCCATGTGGCCAGGGACCAGCATCTTGGACACCACAGTCTCAGGATGTTGTCTTCTCACCTGTTAAATGGGGTGATGGCTGTCTCCTCTTCTGAAGTGGCTGGCGTGTAAAATACGATGATCCCGATAAAATGTTCAGCTCGTACTTAGGCACATACCAGCACTCGTTCGAGGTCAGCTCAGTATTGTTATTGTTGTTGAAAACTTTGGAAGCAGCAGGTTCTCCGATGGCAAAACAGAGCCAGCTCATGCTGTCTGTGTCCGCCCTCAGGGAGTGGAGCGCATGCTTAAGGTCCCTAGGATGGTGGGGTTTCCTTGCCTTCTTGGATCCTGGGTCATCGCTGTTTCCAGCATCTGGGCTGAGCCTTTCTGGATGAAACCAGCTCACCTCGAATCTTTGGTGCCTGGCATTGTGCGGAGGGCTTTCCATGCAGCATCTCAAGTGTCGAGATTGTTCAAATCCTTGCAACAATCTTTTGACGTAGTTACAACTATCACCCCATTGTGCAGAGCAGTAAACCGAGGCTCAGAGAGGAAGGGACTCATTTCACTAGTGAGTGGGTGGGGTTGGCGGAGATGGAAAGCACTGTCTTTCCCCCATTCTCCGGTTGCCAGGGCCTCCCTGACCTGGGGAGGAAAGGGGCACCTCCCTACCTGCAGGGCATGTACCATTTCGTAAGGGGCTCCCTGCTTCCTCCTTGAAGCGGCTGGAAGATCCTCTTCCACTGTTTGTCTTTTTCAGACCTTGCCTAGATGTGATCTTGCCTGAACCCACCAGATCCAATAATCCTGGGCCAGACGCACCCACCCCCCACCTTCCTCCACCCCATCTCACACATGCACACCAGACGGGGTATGAGTTGCAGTTTCTTTAATTCATTCCCAGGCTGGCAGTGTTGTGTGAATATCCTTAATGGGAACAGCCCCGTATAAGTACAAACAGTGCATTCTATTTGCATGGCCCAGTGCACTTTTCAGAAGCGTTTGGGACCATTTATATATCAAACAGGACAAATTAGGTAGGGACAGATCTTGACCAAGGGTTGAAAATGATGGCCTGAAGCGGTATCTGATGCACAGACATTTTTTTGCTTGGCTGATGTGTTCAAATTTTTTTTGAGCCAGTATTTAAAAGTTGAAAGCGTTTGCATGAAACCCCAGATCTCTGCCTTCTCTTGAAAAATTGGAGTTGCTTACCACACTGAAATGAACTGTTGGGTGGCAGTGAACTGAATTCTGCTGCCCATTTGGGTCCTGCAGGCTCCCAAGTTTCACAGCTTTGCTCATTTTGATTCCCCTTGCCTGCAGGTACCCAAGTTCTGGTTCTTACCTTAATCAGTGAGAATCATGAGCCCAAGGCCACCAGCCAGGGGGTGAGGACAGCTGGGTCCCAGCTCTCCGTCTGTAGCTCACATGTGTGTACCCCAAAGGGCCCCTTTCTCTGGAGGAGCTAGAAGTACAGAGAAAGCTACTAGGACAGACTGTCTGGGTTCACACTTACTGTGTGACTTTGGGCCGGTGTTCTAACCTCTCTGAATTTTAGTGTCCTAGTTATAGACTAATGATGATGATGAAAGTACCTACTTAATGTGGTCTGCCTTTTTAAAAGAAAATCCATGAAAAGCACTTAAAATAGTGCTACGTTCCTTTCTATTACTATTATTATTATTGTTATTATCATTAATTATTTTATCCAACAGAATTCCATGTGCTCTTTTGGCCCAGGTTTGTCAAGGCTTTCTCCATTTTTAGTATCATTACTCCTGTGATGTGTGTGTGTGTGTGTGTGTGTGTGTCCTTAAACCTCAGTGTAAATTGAATATTTTGGGAGGTAAGTTACAAGATTAAAATGCAAAAGTGTATCCTGCAGCAAAGAGGATAATTCTTTTATGTTGGGAAATATCCCTTCTAAATAAGAGTCATTTTGTACTTTCAGATTCTGGTCGATCACCTTTCGTAAAGTGGGGCTTACCTGCAAGATGTTCCTGTTTGAGAAAGCCTCTAAGCCACTCAGTTATTGCTTGCTCTGTCCCCTGCCCTGGCGAGTTTGATAGGCACCAGTTGGGTTTCATGGCTTTTGCATGCATCGTTTTTTGGATAGAATTTTAGTGCTATACACTTTTCCTCTTCTTGGTTGCGAGTTTAATATGTGTGTGTGTGTGTGTGTGTGTGTGTGTGTGTGTGTGTATGTCTGATTTTGTTGTAACACACAGATCTGGCCACAAGAGGGCACACGTATGCTGTGTATTAACCTAGAATCTCCATCCTCAATTATCTGAAACTCTTATTTAAATAACAACAACAAATGACCAATGGACACAGACACCAGGGGGATGAGGGCATGAATGGGGGCGGGGGGGGGGAATGGGGGGGTTGAGGACACATGTAATGCCTTAATCATCAATAAAAATGACAACGATAATAAATGTAAACACATTGGATACCATTAAGTGCTATAAAATGAAGACTCTTTTTTATAGATGTGTAAATATGGAAGCTTGACAAATTTCAAGCTGTATCCATATGATAGTGTCTAGGGACACAGCCTTTCTGGAAAGAGGGATGGTTACTGGTGGCGGTCAAGGGTCACCTGCCTAAGACTATCAGAGAGTGGAGGACAGCCATCAGGAGACTTGGGCTGTCTGCTCTGGGTTCACCCTGAATTTGGGACAAGTCACTGCTGTAGGAGCTGAGCAGGAGGCATGGAGGGCCTCCAAAGATAAATCAATTAGAATCTCGATCATAAGGAATTTAGAAGCTGCATGGGGACACGGACAAGTAATAAACTATACCATTTATGGCGCCATGTGCTAAGCGCACGTGCTTCCCATGCTTCCCTACACAGTGTGTGCACTTAAGATTCCCATTTTGGGTGAGCAAAGTGAGGCTTAGATGGGTTAAATGATCATCTAGCTAACGAGTGGCATAGCTGAGAGAAAACCCAAGCCTGTCTGATGCCCAAATCAGAGACCCAGCTACACCAAGGAGCCATTCACACAGTGCGGGGTGTTCAGCTAGGTACCACTAGAGGGCAGTGTGGAGGCTCAGACCTCATTCCTCCACTCTGGGCACTTGACGTCTGCATACTCTTCCCTCCCTAGGAAATCACCCCGGGCCAGCTGAGCCTGGAGGACCTCTTGGAGATGACGGATGAGCAGGTGTGTGAAACCGTGGAGAAATACGGAGCCAACCAGGAGGAATGTGCCCGCCTCAATGCCTCCCTCTCCTGCCTCCGGAACGTGCACTTGTCAGGTGAGCAGGCTGGACGTCTGCCACAGGGCCTCCAGGTTCCTGTGCCTGCGGCCGCAGGCCTGGACGAGACACAATCAACTCTGGGTGGTAAATGCCGCAGGCGAGCAGAGGAGAGAGGGGCCTGGGACTTGAAAGTGGTTAGCGCAGCTTCTGGGAACTTGGCTCCAAAGGAGACCTTCGGAGGTTGTGGGACATTTGGTTCTGGAAAATTAGGGTCCAGGTACTGGAAGTCCGAGATGTGCGTAGGAGACCAGAATCCTTTCACCTTAGACATTCTGAAGTGTCGTCGTAATTTGGGTCAACATCTGCCTTCTTATTTTTTTACATAAACATTATACATTCTTTATAAAATAACTCAGAGAACATAAAAATAGTAATAACTACCCTAAGCATCACTCTCTAGGGACCTACTGTTGTCATTTTGGTATAATTTTTGGTATACTTTTTCCAGACCAATAGATAGGTGTTTACTACCTTTAAGCAATAGAATTAGGATTATTTATCCGTATTATTTTGAAACCTATTGTGTTTTCTTTAAAATCTAACAAAATAACCTCTGTGACATATCAGTTTGGGATCCACATATATTGTCCTATTTCTTTGATCTTTCCTATAAATTATTCAAACTCCCATCTGCCTCCTTTTTTTTTAGCAGGACAGCAGACACCATCCTCTTAAGGCCTCCTGCTTCTCTCTAGCTTTGTGATTTTTCCACAAACTCTGTGGTCTTTTCCGCGTTATGGGATCAGCTCTGCAAACACCCGCCAAAAAGTGTTTTTGGTCCATCTGTGTGGTTGTTTCAGTTCCCACCACAAGGTGTCACTGTTGTACATGAGTTGGGCACAGTCAGGCAGAAAGTTATAATCACAGATGCCCCTGCTGGATTCAACAGGCAGTCTTCAACAAGTATTTATTGAGGGACTACTTTGTGCCAGTTGGGCTGAGGATACATCAGTGAACAAAACAGAGCCTATCTGAAACAGGTCATTGGCCCAGATTCTCTCCTCTCCAGCCCTGCATGCTCTTTTATATTCTTTTTTGCTAGCAGATCCTGATCAGGGCTGCGATCAGCATCAACAGAGACCATGAACTGGAGAATGACTTGTCCTTGAAGCGTGCTTGTTAGCACCCTGGTCTCTACCCACTAGATACCAGCAACATCCCTCTCCCATTCATGACAAACAGAAATGTCTCTGGGTATTTGCAAATGTTCTCAGGGGAGGGAGGTGTTGCGGTAGAATCACCCCTGGTTAAACAGCGATAAAGGTCATGTTATTCCTTACTCTAGCTCAATGCTGTTGACTCACCTAACATTTGCATGGCTAAGAGTGTCCTGTCAATCATGCAATACAGACAAGACCTGCTTCAGGGTGACTTCTCTCTACCTACAGCGAGAAGCAGCTCGTAGTTAGTGCGCCATTAAGAAATGGTGCCTAATTACAAGGCTGTATCATACACATCTTTGTCAATACATTTTAAGGCCTGAATACTGTTACCATTTATCCAACCACTGCTGTCATTAGACATTTAACTCTGAGTGTTACCTTTGGGCTACTCCTTTAGTGAGACTGCATAGGAGTGTGGTTCCTGCAGCAAAAAAAATTTCCATATTTTAAGACTTCTGATGGACATTGCCATGTTTGCCTTCCAAAAAGTTTGTACCAATTTACACCTCTTCCTCCCCCTCCCCCTCCCCCCCACAGTGCATGAGAGTGAGCATGTGAGGTTAGGTTCTTCATTGCTTTTCAGAGTTCATAGCTCCTCATCAGAATTGGACTACTGAGTGTGACAGAGTCCTCATAGTGGAGCTGGACTCCAGTTCTGCCTGAGACAGGCCTTTCTGTCAGCCCTCTGTGGGCTGCGCAGCCACCCTGTGACCTCCTGGGCTGGGTGAGACCGTGAGAGAGCCTCTGATCTGGTGTTTTTCAAACTTTTTTGACCAAGACACACAGTAATCAAAACATTGCACGGCCGGTGTGGCTCAGTGGTTGAGTGTTGACCTGTGAACCAGGGGTTGATGTTTTGATTCCCGGTCAGGGCACATGCCTGGGTTGTGGGCTTGATCCCCATTAGGGGGTGAGCAGGAGGCAGCCAGTCAATGATTCTCTGTCATCATTGATGTTTCTATCTCTCTCCCTCCCTTTTTTATCAATAAAAATAGAAAAAAGACACACAGTAACAAATGATTTATATTGCAACCTTGTACACACACATTATACACAAACACATGAATATACACATACACAACTGAAATTAGTTTCGTGAAACATTACCAATTCTTATTATGCACAATATTTTACATTCTTTTCTATTTTATTCTATATCATTTACCAAACGCTGCAAAGGACCTGCCACTTTTATTTCACCCCTCACTATGGGTTGAGAAACGCCAATCTCCTTGATCCTCCTGCCTCTAGATCAGCTCTTCCCAGGCAGCTGAGCTTCCGTCGACTGTGTCCTGCCTCCGATGCCAGCCTTCAAGCCACTGGGTCCTTGAGAGCAGGGCCAGGTGTTGTGCTGGGCAACAAGGGCAGCTGGCAGGGAAGCGCAGCTCAGCACACAGCTCTCAGTGTCCTGGCGGCACGCTCTGCCTCTGTATGTGTCCGTATCACTCTCCACATGTTCAGGTTAGCCTTTGGGCGGAGTGATTTCTTTTAAGGGATGCCTCTCCCCCCTGTAGGGTGTAGGCTGCAGGAGGGCAGGGATTTCCTGTTTCTGCTCACCATTTTATTTGCAGCCAGACACCCCCAGCTCAGTATCTGGCACATTGTAAGGACTCAGTACATATTTCTCTTTAAAAAACATTTTAATTGATTCTAGAGAGAGGAAGGGAGAGAGAGAGAGAGAGAGAGAGAGAGAGAGAGAGAGAGAGAGAGAGAGAGAAATTGATTGGCTGCCTCCTGCGCACTCACAATGTATGTGAAACTCACCAGTGGCTTCACATACATAGTCTTTCCCATGGGTTGCAAAGCACCTTGGGATTTGGCTTCTAATTGGAACCCTGCTGTTTACATTCCCCCCTCCAACCTCAATGTCGTACAGATCTACTAATTACTTGGAATTTCCTAGATCACGCATGATTTCACTTCTTGGTACTCAACCCACTGCCTGGAATTTCCTCCCATCTGTGTCCTCCCCGTGAATCCTGCTTTTTCTCAAGCCCCTGACTCAAGGCCTCTGCACTTTGTTGGATGAATGAATGAATGAATGAATGCTTCTGTTACCAACTGCTCCTGCCTTAGACAGATTGTCACTTTTTTTGTCTTACTCCTTCATCTGCTTGTGACCTCCCCAAGGACAGGTGCACTATGCTGCTATTCATCCCTCTGTTCCTAGCACCTCGTCCAGGTTCTATTTGTTGAAGGAAGTGCGGGAAAGCTGTACGATGTGTTTGCTACTCTTTTCCACCAGGGGGTGCAGCGAGCCATTCTCTACTGATCCTTCTTGTCTTAAATTCTCTTCTTCCCTCAAAAATTATCGTTGGTTCCTTGAAGCTTCTAAATGGTCCCACTATTTTCTGCCTTTCACCTTATCCAATATTTTATCCCAAACTAGGGAATCAACTAGTTCTTGACTCTTGCTTCTTACTATATTTTTTTCATCTCTGTCTCCCCAGCTCTCAGCTGGGGTTTCCTACAGTGATGAAATTAGATACTTTAAATTTTAGTGTGTAGTGGGGACTCAATGCATATTTGTTAAATGACTGAAGGGATACAGGTTGTATTGAGAAACTCATGGAGACAAAAAAGCTTTGTACCTGACCAAGAATATGTGTAATTTCTCTCTCTCGCCCTCTCTCCACCTCCCTGTCCCTGTCCCTGTCCCTGCCCCTGTCCCTCTCCCTCTCCTTCTCCTTCTCTCCCTCTCTCCCTTCCTTTCTTTCTTTTCTTCCTTCCTCTCTCCCCCTCCCTCTCCCTCTCCCTCCCTCCCCTTCTCTCTCCCTCCCTCCCCCTTCTCTCTCCCTCCCTCCCCCTTCTCTCTCCCTCCCTCCCCCTTCTCTCTCTCCCTCCCTCCCCCCCTTCTCTCTCTCCTTCCCCCTCCCCCTCCCCTCCCCTCCCCTCCCCTCCCCCTCCCCCTCCCCCTCCCCCTGTCCCTGTCCCAGGATAGGGGAGACTTTATTTCATAGTTGTGAATCTAACTTAGTTTTCTCCTTGGATTTTGGGGTTATCTTTATCTCCCAGTGTCCAAGATGCCCCAAAGGTAGGGAAGTTTAACCTTTTGTTTCTTAGCTTGTTGGATAAGCTTTAGCCTCACACCAAAGAATACTTAATTATTCCATTAGCAAGCCCAAGGGACCCAAAGCCAGGGTCTCCTCATTTTCCTTATCATATCAGCTGTGGCCTGAAATAAAAACAACAACATTCCCTCATTCATCAAAATGTATTGAATGCCTCCTATATGTTAGGCACCTTATCATTATCACCACCTTTATCACCATCACCAAGATCACCATCACTATCACCATCACCACCTTCATCACCATCACCACCTTCATCATCATCATCACCATCACCATCACCACCTTCATCATCATCACCATCACCACCATCACCACCTTCATTACCATCATTACCATCATCACCATCACCATCACCACCTTCATCATCATCACCATCACCACCATCACCACCTTCATTACCATCATTACCATCACCAACATCACCATCAACATCTTCACCAGGGTCCTCTAGCCTTTCCCTGCCCTGTCTCGCTTTCCTCCATCTTCTTCCTGTCCCTCTCTTTTTCTTTTCTTTTCTTTTTTTAAAATATATTTTATTGATTTTTTTACAGAGAGGAGGGAGAAGGATAGAGAGTTAGAAACATCGATGAGAGAGAAACATCGATCAGCTGCCTCCTGCACACCCTCTACTGGGTATGTGCCCGCAACCAAGGCACATGCCCTTGACCGGAATCGAACCTGGGACCCTTGAGTCTGCAGGCCGACGCTCTATCCACTGAGCCAAACCGGTCAGGGCCCCTCTCTTTTTCTTTTGTCTCCA